ATATATATATATATATATATATATATATGTATATACATATATATATATATACATATATATAGATACATATACATAGGTGTTTATAGACATGCGCGTATGGGTATATGTATATAGTTATCCAATTTTATTGACAATGATACATGCACCCCTTATTCGAGACCTTTCATCCTACAAAGGTGGTGACCGCCATATCCGTTTAAGCCAACTAAGTACAAACCCTGATTACCTATCTTCATACAGCTTCACAGTGTATAGATACCGCGTGAACCCTCCCTCTAGCTCAAGTTCAGAGAAGTTCACCAGCACTCCTCGTCTATCCCAGAATTGGCTGTGAATGGACAGTGAGTGAAACGCTTTAAAAAAACGCATACAGATGACGGAAGTACATGTTTGTACACAGAGTTTGGCTTTGAATGAAAAAGTAGGTGGTACGCTTTTGAAACATGCGTAAGGATAAGAAATACGTAGTTGTACTCAGTATTGGCTGCAAACGATAATGAAGGGATACGCTTTAACAACACGCATATAAAAGCGGGCATACATATTCGTGCAACGTTCGCAAAAAATTGTTTATACTTGTACGTCCATTGACGTGCCCATATGAACTGTACTATGGCAATACGTACGGCGGAGAGCAACTTTCTAGTACATCCTAGTGCACATGTCTATGTAAAGACCCGAGTACAAGTAGCCAAAGCAAGTCGTTCGAGAAATGTAACTCACTCCTTTGCGACATTGCTCACTCACATAGTCAAAATCCACACGACCGCCGGTAGGGTATGACAATTTCAGCTACGCATACCGGGACAAAAGCGGATCAAGGAATAAGCCCGACCCTTAATCCGTTCACGCAGCAACACACACAACACGGGCACGCAGGTCCATGCAACACAGTACGTGTTGTATATCAATGAGAGAATCTGTAAACATAACAAACGCAGAATGAACGGACGTACACTAAACGTACAACTAACACCATGATGACAGTATACAAGCATGCCTGCACAAGACATGCAGACTTACACGCACGAGCAGTTGTCAATCAGAAAGTGACAGAACATCTGCGGTGCCTCGGCAGAGATCTGCACACACACACCAACGCACTCAAAAGACGCGCACTATCACATCCAACCAAACACTCGCACAGCGATACCCCACTCCATGAATAGGGTTTAGGGGTTTAGGGTGCACGAGTACATTAAATACAGAAGCAAAGTGCAAAGGTATGTATAGCATATCCTGGATATACGTTCGCCGGGCTACTTACGAGAAGTGGTCGGTCAGGAAGTCGCAGCGCATCTCCGGTGCCTCGTCAGAGATCTGCACATACACGCCACCGGCACACAGCACCCGCACTATCTCACTCACCAACTGCCCACACAGAGTCGCTGCTCCCCTTGGTCCGAGACTTGTGTGTGTGTGTGTGTGTGTTTCTAGAGCGGAGTGGGTGCGTGCCTGTGCTTCTATAGGCGCGTGTGAGTGGGTGGCTAATGTGCGAGTCTGAGTCTGAGTCTGAGTCTGGATCTGTGACTGTGTATGTGAAGATGTGTCTCCATCTTTCATGTGCTCTCCCGTGTTATGTAGACTGTCGATTTGTTCTTCTTTGTGGAACCGATCTCCGTGCACTAGAGCGTCCATGGTGCCCTTATCCAGCAGCACATCTACAGAGTTGTCTGCAATAGTCCCCTGCATATTCAGAATATCCGCGACCTGTATTGTATATAGTATTATATAGTTTATAGTTTATAGTATATAGTATTATATAGTTTATAGTTTACAGTTAATAGTATTATATAGTTTATAGTTTATAGTACATAGTATATAGTATATAGTATATACACGCACGTAGAATGCGTTAATAAATGAACATCTGTTCACTTCGCCATATACATCTATGCATGAAAATCCCCAATGGAATCGTCCATATCCAAGTACTATGAGTCATCAGTGGACGTATATTCGGTACGGGATTCGTTCGCTTAGGCGTAAACGGATATCAGGTATGTTGGCTATAAAATCGTACAAGTTAAGATAATTTGCACACGCCATAGACCAGATCCATCCAGCACAACAAAGAGATGAGATGCATGGCCCTCGGGATTGTACGGCGTCCAAAAGGCAATTTTCTCAAACAGGATATATATATATATATATATATATATATATATATATATGCATTTATGCATCTATATATATATATCTATGCATTTATGCATCTATATATATATATATCTAGATATACATATATACAATATATATATATATATTTATATATATATATATACACGCACACACGCACGCACACACACACACATATATATATTTATATTTGTGTATGTAGAAAGTACATATATGCAGACATCTATAATATTTATTTACATTTACGTATGTATGTAGTTTTCATCTCACATCTTAGTCCATATCTATGACTACTATACGAGTGTCTAAATATATTACCAAATCACTCGATCGGAATGACAATACCTTGAAAGTTGGTGATTTATCCGCAGTAAGGCGCACTCGTTCTTGCATGGTGTTGATCGCAATCTGGCTGGAGTCTACAGCAATCATCTATATGGTATCCAGCATGTCATGGTAAGTTCTGAGGTGCGTTGTGTCTGCTGGTTGACCTGGCTGGACGTAGGAATGTATACTATATTTTTTGTGTGCAATAATTGTATATACTGCACACTAAACCTTGATTGGTACACTCTATGTCATATTCTTTCATTTATGCACGTTGAGATTTATTTGCGAGATCAACTTTTAAAACTACACGAAGAATGATTTATATTTGCCACGAGCTCGGATAGTACAGTGACAGGATCTTTTCGCATTGCATGTGCGGCTGAATTATAATCGTATGGGGACTGCACGCACACTGAGACACATTGCTTGCTAGAACATATGTCAATATATATATATATATATCTATACCTATATGACTATTCATAAAAGGATTGAATTCTATTCACAGACGGATTAAATTCTGCCATAGGATTATTTTGTAATAACATACCCTTGCTAGCGGGAATTCTTTCTGTACCAGAATCGACAGATTTGATACGCCACAGCCCTGATTACAGACGTGGAATGGATGCACGTGAGGTTTCACACAGAATTTGGGATTGGGATGTGATACAAATCCTACACTTTTTGTTATACAACAGAGCGTTGGTAGATAAGTACCTGGCGAGCCGATTATATAGAACATATGGTCACTTGCCATATACGGGGGAGTTAAACACGCACCTACAACCAACACATCGATGCACATCTTCCAATTGATAGATCGGTTAGTCCAAGTAGAGCATCGACCGCCAAGTCACGATTAAATAGCTCTAACATTATATATATTTGACTGTCATAGGACACACGGAGACGCAGTCATCGCTTGAGATACGATAGTGCAGATTCTGATGACAAATAGGTCAGGTGCTGATACAGAGCATCCATGGGGACTCCGGTGTGCGAGACTTACGATATTCGTATCAACCAGCCTCCTAAACCATAAACCCTACATGTACTGGTACATAAGAGTAACCCTAAGCCCTACATGTACTGGTAAGAGCCTAGTTACAGCAATGCAAGGTTTTGTGGCGATCTCAACGACGCTCGTGTGAAGGTCAAAGACATGCAGTTCTAAAAGGACTGCTTCAATCTGCAGCTTTAGCTAGACAAATTGTGGCGTAGCCATATAAATGACGGTATACGCTTCGTGCGATATATATATTTAGGACTGAATGTCTTTAGTCAAGGATATCTGCCGTCCAAAAATCGACCCCACAGTACCGTTGATAGAGATCGACGCACATCAATTGAGACGTGCCAATTCCAAACTATCTGTTCACTATGAATGAGGGCTCCAAAGTACTGTGCCGATTCCAAATTCTCGTTACTTTGAGATACACAAATTAAGACGCACGCGTACCAATTCCAAACTATTTGCTTCATCTAAACAATCCTCATAAAAAAAATCAGGACTCAAACGTACCAATTCCAATATATTTGCTTCACCCTCACAATCCTCAACAATTGACCGGACCCGCGGAACCACTGCACGGGCCACTTCCTCCGACGTGCAAAACCATTCCGTTGTCCTGGACGACACAACCGGATCCGAATCTAAATATATATTTGGATGTGTATTGAATAAAGTTTAAAAGTTTAATAGGGATATGCGTACTGAACTTTCGGTATCCAGATGTATGGCTATATATCCCTATACCAATCTGCAGTTGTGACTTCTTGATGATGCATACATAACAACTGCATGTCCTTGCGCGGCGGGGAGGGGGGGGGGGTCTGTCACTCACCAATAACACTCAGCGATTTAATGTGTGAATGTAATCTCATTCACAAGGGTGTCTAAATGATTGTGGGAATAGTCCATATGGACCTCGAAGCAAGTGTAACAGTACTGTGTTGATAAATTATGAATACATGTGCCATCTGCTACTTCGACGTTCCAATACACTAACATATAAAGTGTGAAAGGAACATGACCAACAACTACTCACTCCATGTTCAAATACAGTCACGTCAAGTGTAGCAGTACCTGTCAACGAAGCATGCATACATGCACCAACTGCCCGTTGTACGTTCAATTGTCCACCCATAAAGTGTGTCAGCACTGTGTTAATTAAGTATGCATACAAGGGCAACTGCTACTCCTTCGTTCAAATGTACTAATAAGTCCCCATAAAGATTCATATGGAGAGATATAGGGTTTAGGGTTTAGTAGGGTTTCAGGTTTTGTGTGGTCGCAACACTAGCATCATCCTCGCTGGCATCGTCGTAATTTCGTGATTCCTCCACAATAACGTAAAATGGGATATACCAACAGCACGTTGACAGCAGGCATACCTATTCCACTTGCTCTCCCGTTCTATTCAAATAAAATATCATACACACATACAGGAATATATGGGTAAACATACCACTTCGCGTTGTTGAGTCAATGTTATCCTCCTTACTAGTGTCGTAGTAGTTGTTCCAGTATTCCTGACTGGACAAGTCTATCTTCTGCCATCCCACACGCTCTGTATAAGGAACGAAGAACTAGTATGAAAACCTACAGTACACAAACGGTACATTGGAGAGAATAAAAATCGACGCTAACATAAAAACACATGCAGAAATGTAATCAGAGAATGATAAAAAAATGATCACGTACATTGTAAGTCTCTTTACGCCCCAATCACTATCTGAGCATATTCTAGTACATCCTCAAAACCTAAACAATATCTACATACACATAAGCTTATGTACATCCATCCGAATATAGAAGGGGCTTGGAAATATAAAAAATAATACATCCACAAAAAACTACATGTATTTAATAAACGTAAAAATATATACAAACATTACACATGTTTATGTATATATATA